TAGATTTTACAAAATGACATTTATTGGGAGGTGACTTCTCCAAAAATATATTTTCTAACAGCGTGCAGCTGTGATGGGTTGTGTACAAGATAATAGTGTGTCAGAATGGTATATATTTGTACTTCTCATCCAAACACAATTAAATTCACTCTGTCCAGGAGACACAATTTATCAGGATAGTATTTTTTAAGTAATAACAACTCAGAATAAAATAGGAGTAACAACTTTCTACTTCTTACCTTTTTAAAATATGTAGTCAGTAGAAAGTACAGATAATTGTGTAAAAATGTAATGAGTAAAAGTAAAAAGTACGCTGAAAAATAATTACTCAAGTAAAGTACAGATAACCAAAATTTCTACTTAAGTACAGTAACAAAGTATTTGTACTTAGTTACTTTACAACTATGGAATTTTAGAACTGAAATTGAAAGTAGTCAAACTGAATTTTTAATAAACCAAAATGCAGTTTCAAAGCAAATTCATTCAAATTCAAAACTTTAAATTCCGTTTCAATGTAATAAAATTCATTTTCAAACCGGTGCATTCAATTTCTAATTCAGAAATTCAAATTCAATTCCTCTGGCACGAGATTTATCCCATATTGGATCCCTAATGAGAACCCAGTTCAACAGATTTTGTTTTCACATCTCTTCCAAGGCTTGAATCAGATTACTTGCTGAAATGAAACGATTGGTGATATTTACTTTACCTGTCAGTGGTGTGGAGTTAGTGCTTGGTCTACATCAGTTTGTAAAAGACTGCTGATTCAGCAGTCAGTGATGTGCCTGAGCTTGTTACAAATAAAAACTGTTCCATCAGCTGTTGATAATTACAGTGTCTGCCTGCTGCAGTGGAACAAAGATGTCATGTCTAACACCTCAGGTGTTGTCTCCTCTCTTTGTTTCAGGAGTGTGATGAAGGTTACACACGGACCACCTCTGGGCTTTACCTGGGCACGTGTGAGAAGTGCAACTGCAACGGCCACTCCAGCAGCTGTGACCCGGAGACCGGCGTGTGTCTGGTAGGTTCTGTGCTCCTCTTCCTCATGTCTGAACCTTTCATCTCATGTGAAAACATGAGCGCGAGTAGGCCTGTCGCGATAGTCAATAAATCAATTAATTGCACGATAARTTATTTTGAGGTCAGTAAAAAAATGAGGACGATAAGTTTCATTTTCCTGCTTGTTTGTTTACTTCGTCTCTCTCCCTCTCTGTGCTCTGCTGCACAGGAGCTCAGCTGACTCCTCCCCTCCTGTTTTCTTAGTGTCGGAGGCGTGAACTCTCACTTTAGCGTGAGAGCTCGTAGCAATAACAAACTAAAGAAA